CTGAGAAGCATCATCTCCAGATGATCGGTTACATTGAAAAGCAATGGAGAAACTATAGTTGAGCAGAAAACAGAATGAGGCATTCTCCAGGCATTCGATAGCCTTTCTCCATTGTTATTCGTCCTGTGCATGGACCCGTTGGGCCGTCGATTAAGGTACCCAAAGTGGCGGTTCCAACTGATCAAGGAATGCACATTACGAATCATCTATTATTTGTGGATGATCTCAGGATCTTTGCGACCGATGAGGATATCATGAAATCTATGGCAGAAGAAGTTGAAAGGTTTCTTGATGTGGCTTTTTATAGCCTTGAGTTCCTTCCTATAACGCCACTTTATCAGCGCATACCTTGGTATTAGTGGCTGACTTTGCTGAATTTACTTCTAGCCCTAGAAGACAAAACAAGTGCATCTACCCGTGAAAGCTACGATAAATTCCGTGCAGAGATTTTAGTGAGAATTGAGATGTTAGCCAAAACTGTAAGAAGTTTATCAAGGGCAAAGAACTATATCAAAGCTATGAATGAGCGCGCCATAAGCCTAATAAATTATTACGTCTGGGTACTTAAGCTGGAGCCGGAAGACTTCAAGATTATATACCACGATATCAGAAAGTTACTAATCAAATACGGAATTCACAAGCAACGTGCATGCTTGGAAAGACTGCACCTGCCAAGGGACGAGCTAGAGCGTGGACTTCATAATGTTGAGCAGAAGAGTAAGCTTATGCTTCTCCAGCTACATAAGTACCAGAAGGGCAGCGATTCTGAAGTAGAAAAAAACTCATAATAAGCACTTGGCAATTATTGTGTTGTATCTAAAGACTAGGTACAACCTCGCAAAAAATCCTTCTATTGAAAATGTATTAACGGCCGAGAACGACCATGCAAAGCTATACAAGATGGGGACGAATTAAATCTTGTCCATAGTTGATTCATCAAAATGGCAATGATATGAAAACATTACCCCGCAAGACGAGGCACGATATGTTAATCTTCAAAACAGAAATATGTTTGGAGCTGAGAAAGGTATATACCAACATTGTAGGAACCGTGTGAAGACGAAGTGTCGGAATAGCCGGAATGCGATCCAGCGCCAGAACCAATAAAGCGAAAATTAAAAC